GCAGATTCAGAATCTTGAGAGTGGCTGTAGCAGAGCCTCGGGTTCGTTGCGGGAGGGCGGGACAGGAGAGCCGGCGGAGCCCCGGCCCAGAAAGAGCCTGCGGCCGCTGGAGGGCTGGTCCGTGGTCCAGTTCCTGTGGCTAGGTGGGGTCGTGGTCCCCAGATGCAGCTGCTGCACCGCTGCCACTGGGTTTCTTGGGCAAATAACTCAGGCCAGCGTGTACAAACTCTCTGGGCCTTGAACCCCTGGACCAGCTCCGGACCTTCCCCAGGAAAAGATCCAAATTGCACACAGTTAGGTGCACACACATTCTTACAAGTACGAAAGCACGTGTACATACACGGCTCTGCAAAGGTATTCACGGATTTCCAGGCCAGGCCCGCACCTGGGTTCGCGGCTAAGCTACTGTCCTGGCTATTATCTGGTCACCTCGGGAACTGCGCAAACCTGTCCACACACACCCCTCCCCGAGGGGCCACACCCTGCCTAAGACGGACCCGACAGGGCTTTTCCTGTTCAAAGTTGCAACGGATCCTGCCCCGGCTGCGTAGACTGCACAGCGCAGAGTCGAATGTTCGTTCTGGACAGAGAGGAGGCTCTAAGTGAGGCGCAGCCCACCCAAGAACGAGTCGTGAAGAAAAACCCTGTGGGAGCGGCGCCCATGTGAACGCTGGGTAGGGGAGGTGCAGAGCGCCAGGGCCGGATCGGAAACATAGAAAAATGGTCCCAGAGGTCGAACAGCTCCGGCCGGTCCAGACCCCGAAATGCTCCTGGCGATCGGGCTTTACATTCCAGACCCAAGTGCGCATCGACAAAGTGCCCTGAGACTGGGCGTGCGCGGCACATGGGCAGGGTTGCCCGGGACACCGCCGGATGTGGGCTGTGCGCGCCCACCACGCGGGCACAGGGCCTGCGTGCCGCGGAACTCACCCGCACTTGCATGGGTTGTGCAGGCAGGAGTCACCCACGTCTAGTGAGTGGTCCGTCTTGTCCTTCGGGACGCGAGCGCCAGGAATCAGTCTGAGCGCCGGAGGCGAATTCAAGGCAGGTGTGTGGCCGCTTCCCTCCCTAGGAGCACGCCTGAAGTTGTCGCTCCCGCTGCGCACGGAGGGCGCCGCCAGGACTGGGCGTCTCACACACACACACACACACACACACACACACACACCCCACCCGGGGGTGGGGGAACACTGGAAACCTGCATAGGAAGAGTGCGTTCAGCCACGGGGAGGGGAGCGCTCAACCACAGGTGCGCACAGGCATTCCGACCCCCACTACTCAGCACTGCTGGCTGGGGAGCTGGAAACTCGAGGAAAGTGGCAGAGAGCGGGTGGAGGATGCCTGTGTTTAGGATGAGGGGGACTTGTGCCTCTGGTACCGGATGCGACGAAAATTAGTTGGGTTGCTGGTCAAGAATCTGGGGGCCGGGACTGGCCCGCGCGCGCTGCCACCTTATACTGGGCGAAAGGTGCGCTTCCTTCCTGGCCCCGAGAACCAAATCTCCTGGCCCTCGGAGGGCCCAGAGCTGGGTCAGGACGCAGACCTGCTGAGTTCGCGGCTTGCCCAGAACTCCGGGTTCCTCCCGAGTCTTCCTGCAACGCGCGGCCCGGGCTCGGGGGTCCCAGCGTTTCCCGACGCAAGGCCGCGCGCCACGCTCCCGCCCACGCCGGCCCCACCAAGGCTCTGCCACCGCTCCACTCACCAGCTCCCGCCACCTGGGTTCCGCTCCGCGACCTCCGCCGCCCGCGCCTCCCGATTCTCCCGCCCACCGGCCTCTCTTTCCAGCACCCGCAGCCTCCTGAGCCCCCGG